GGGGAATCTAGGTTGCTTCCAGGTTTTTAATATTACAAATAATGCTGCTACAATCATACCTGAACACATGTCTTGTTCCATGGAAGAGGGTCATTTGGGTGTATGCCTAAGAGGGGCATTGCTGGGTCCTGTGGTAGACTGATTCCCATTTTACTGAAGAACCAGCATACTAATCTCCAAAATGGTTGTACATATTTGCAATGCCACCAGCAGTGGAAGAGTGTTCCCCTTTTTTTCCACATCCTCTTAGGCATAAATTGCCACTGGTGACTCTAATTTTAGCCATTCTGGCAGGAGTAAGATGGTATCTCAGTATTGTTTTGATATGCATTTCCCTGATAGCTAAGGATGTTGAGCACTTTCTTAAGGTTCTTTCAGCCTTTATTTACTCTATTGAGAGTTCTCTCTTCAGATCTGTTCCCCAATTTTAATAGGGTTATTTGGTGTTTTGTTGACTAGTCTCTTGAATTCTTCTTATATTTTGGAGATCAGCCCTCTGTCAGATGTAGAATTCGTGAAGATCTTTTCCCAGTCTGTGGGCTGCCAATTGGTCTTCTCAATTGTGTCCTTTGCCTTACAGAAGCTCCTCAATTTGAGGAGGTCCCATTTATTAATTGTCGTTCTCAGTGTCTGTGCTACTGGAGTTATGGTTAGGAAGCAGTCCCCTGTACCAATTTGCCAATACCTTATTTTTGACAAAACAGGTAAAAGTATACAATGGAAGGTGGAAAACATCTTCAACACATGGTGCTGGCACAACTGGATGATTGTGTGTAGAAGACTGCAGATAGGCCCATGTCTATCGTCATTCACAAAACTCAACTCCAAATGTATCAAATACTTCAACATAAATCCAGCCACACTGAACCTCTTAGGAAGAAAAAGTGGGAAGTGCCCATGACCAAATTGATACAGGAGACAGCACCCAATGATTCTTAAGCCCGACGACCCAAGAACATTCCTTCCATTCTGGTAACTCTGCACGTTAACATTGGAGGTTCTCCCCTAGCCTTGGAACTCTGAGCTTTTTCACCACTTGTATTTCTCCAGTGTTTGTAAGTCTGTTACACACTGCTTAATCAATCCCAAAATCTACTCCTTTTACAATATCCTATATCTCTTATGAAATTACCAGGCATTCCTACTCCATCTAAAAATGAAAAGAAAGCATAGTTTGTTGTTTGCTTCTGACAGGGTTCTTTTTTTTTTTTTTTTTTTTTTCTTTTTTCAACCTATGGCTTAAACATTCCTCCAGGTTAAGTTTTCCTGATGGCTGAGCCTACAGGGGAACAATAATATATAATTAAGCTTTGTCCAAGGCCTACATTGTAGTCTAAAGCTTGTGTGGTATAAATAAATCATTTTGAGTCTCCTTAAATATATAACTTTTATATTGAGAATGTATGTTAAAGACAGCCCAAGATTTATGATAGCAGAAAATAAGAGAAGGGAAATGGATTGTTGAGGCTTATAAGTATGCAGAGCTGGTTTAGTTTTATATAGTTTGTTCTGTTTTTGTTTTTGAAATATGGTTTCAATACAGTGACCTTGCTGTCTGGAACTCTCAGTGTAACCTAAGTGGGCCTACAACTTGTTACATGGCTAAAGATGCCATCAAGTTTTATGTTTTCTGGGATTATAGGTTTCTGTCTTCACACAGAGCTCCAAGTGCCCCTCATGACTCTAGTGCAGGACTTTGGTGGACATTATTTGAAAGAGTTAGTTTTTCAAAGCCATGGTTCTTAATCTTTGCAGTATTAGGATTCTTTTCCATTACTGACAAATTATTGAGGACACTCAGGGTCATCTGTTTATGTAGTAAATACTTTGTGATATATATCACTGAAATTGGAATTTCTCCCTTTTAAAATTGAAACACATATTTTAAATATTTGAAAGTAAATCCCAAAACTTTTATATGCTATCTAGATAAAATTTTGTTTAAATACCAGATTTTCCAAACTAAAATATATGCCAAGAAAATAGCACTTTAAGTCTTACAAGTTTCTTTCATATACCACTTAATATTTTTCATATCTTCTATATTTAACTGAAGTACATAAACACAATCTTCATATAATCTGCACACACTTTGAGATTCTTTCTTCAATATGTTACTAGAAAATTCTATTTTAATCATCCAAAATTGAACATTAAAACATAGAAACATTGTAGAACAACTAAACCCTTAGAAGCAAAAGTGGTAGTTACCCTTGAAAATATTGATACAGCGGACTGCTTCCTGAACATAGCTCCAGTAGTACAAACACTGAGATCAACAATTAATAAATGGGACCTCCTCAAACTGAGTAGCTTCTATAAGGCAAAGGAAACAGTTGAGAAGACCAAAAGGCAGTGCACAGACTGGGAAAAGATCTTCACCAATCCTACATCTGACAGAGGGCTGATCTCCCAATATACAAAGAATTCAAGAAACTAGTCAATAAAACACCAAATATCCTTATTAAAAATGGGGTACAGAAATGAAGAGAGAACTCTCAATAGAGTAAATAAAAAAGGCTGAAAGACACTTAAGAAAGTGCTCAACATCCTGAGCTATCAAGAATATGCAAATCAAAACAACATTGAGATACCATCTTACTCCTGTCAGAATTGCTAAAATTAGAAACTCCAAAGACAATTTATGCTGGAGAGGATGTGACTAAAGGGGAACATTCCTCCACTACTGGTGGGATTGCAATCTTGTACAGCCATTTTGGAGATTAGTATGGTGGTTCCTCAGTAAAATGGAAATCAGTCTACCACAGGAGCCAGCAATCACACTCTTAAGCATATACTCAAATGATCCATACCCATGGAACAAGACATGTGTTCAGGTATGATTGTAGCAGCATTATTTGTAATATTAAAAACCTGGAAGCAACCTAGATTCCCCTCAACTGAAGAATGGATAAGAAGATGTGGCACATTTACAAAATGCAATACTACTTTGCAAGGGAGGGCAACGCAATCTTGAAATTCTCAGGCAAATGGATGGAACTTGAAGAAACCATTCTGAATGAGGTAACCCAGTCACAAAAGAGGAACATGGTAAGTACTAACTTATATGGATTTAGACATAGAGCAAAGGATCACCAGCCTATTATTCACACCGCCAGAGAAACTAGGATACAAGTATGATTCTAAGAGTTTCATACAAGGTACCTCACAGAAGGGGGAAAGGACAAGATCTGAGCATGTTGGGATTGGGGGGTGGATAGTGAGTGGAGTGGAAGCAAGAGAAAGAGAAGGGGAGGAGAGGAAAGCACGTGCAACTAGGAAGTCAGAGGATGAATAGACAAGAGAAGAGAAAGAGAGAGGGAGGGAGAGAGAGAAACCCTAAAATAGGAAGCCATTATAGGTTTGAAGAGAAAACTGACTCTAGAAAAATGTCCAGAGACTTACAATAGTGACCCCAACTAACAATTTGAACAACGGTGGAAAGGCTACCATAAATGCCCTTCCCTGATAATGAGATTGATGACTAAGGTATCCACCATCATAGAGCCCTCATGTAGTAGCTGATAGAAACAGAAGTAGACACCCAAAACTAAGCACTGAGCCAAACTGGAATCCAGGTGCAGAGAGGGATGACAAGACCAGTCTACATAAACCTACAGATACAGCTGACCTGAAGAAGGAGGAGCTAATTGTCCTACAAACTGATAGCTAGGAATCTAGCATTGGACCGACTCAGACACCCTGAACATTGGTCTGAGTTAGAAGGGCTGAGCAGAAGGGCTGAACTCTGACATTGGAACCAGGATGTATCCCTGGTGTACAAAAGGATTTGGGAGCATATTCCACATTGAGGTTTACCCCCTTAACCTAAATGCAAGAGGGAGGGCCTAGTCCCTACTCCAATTGACCTGACAGATTTAGATGGCCCCTCCTAGAAGGCATCACCCTGCATGTGGAGTTGGGGGGGAATAGAAGGGGTGGAGTTGTCAGGGGACATGTAGGGGTGGGAGAGAGGGAGGGATGGAGAGACAAGGGAGAGGGATCAGGGATCGATAGGTAAAATAAGAAAAATAAAATTTAAAAGTTTACTAAAAAAAAAGAAACAGTGTGGAAAATAGAAAAATATTTTTCTTCATAAATTAAAGTTTATATTAACCACTAAAAGGCTCAATAAACATAAAAAGAGTAACAGAATGAACATAAGAACAAGAGGCAGTGTTGGAGCAGTGTGGACCACTGTATTCTGCTCATGTATGACAGGACATTCTTGAACTCTCAGCAGTTCAGTAACCAGTACAGGAGATGAAAACATTTGGAACTTTTGTCTCTACTCCCTGAGAATTTCTGGAAGTTTAACAGTTGCTAGGTTAAAATGAAACTTCTCTAGAGTATATCCCAGTAAGTTACCCATTCTATAAATAACCCTTCAACCACACACCTGAAAGGAACTCTAACTAATTGAGTAACAAAACCAAAAAGTCTTCAAAGTAGAAGAAAAGTAGTTGGGAAGTAGAAATGGGTAAGATGGAATAGAAGGGGGACAACAGTGTGCAATGAGAGATGAATATAATGAAAATACATGAAATGAATTTATGAAAATGTAATAATAAATTAAATTTTATGCAGAATTAATTTATGCTAATAAAAACTTGAAAATACTGTTATCTTATTACTCATAATTTTAAAGCACTATAGAAATTTAATATGCATATTATGAGATTGATGGTAGAGGAGTGTTCATGAGGCACGGAGAAGAAATAAATTCGGTAAACAAATATGTGGAGAAAATATGTGGCTTGGAAATAATATGTATTTTTTTTTTAGTAAGGCATACACAATTGAATAAATAACTAATCCTGAGTGTATCCACAGTTCTAGAGTGTTTCTCTGAATAAAAGAACATTTTTCCCTAGTCAGCATTCTTCATCAGCTTTAGTTATAATTGTTGTTACTTTAACTTTTCATTCTATAAATCTTATTGCCAACTTTCCATAAAAACTTATAAATATCAATTCTTTCATTTTTGTTAAATTGAAAAGAACCTGAAAAACATTTTGGGAGGAAAAATCTGGAAAGGTGAAAGAAAAAAGAAGTTGTGCTATCCCAGACTCCAAATTAGGTAAGTGATTGAGAAATAGGGAATAATGTGCTTTCGTGTAGTGCTGATAATGAAGCTAAGGAGAAGAATAATGCTGATCAAGTCATTGCTAAGAAAGACAACTGAAGTTGCTCCTCATGCTGATTTGCTTGTCCAGACTTACTATTAGGAGAGTGGTTAGTCTTACTACAACTTGATATACCATGTTTTGTTGATACTCATGGGAGACTTGTCCTTTCCTAAACAGCAAAAGGGAGGATTGGATTAGGGTGTGGGAACACAAAGGGATTGGGGTGAGAGTGGGAGGAGAAGACAGAGGGGAAATTTCAGTCAGGATGTAAAAGTGATTGAATGAATGAATACAACAACAAGACATAATTTGGTTGAAGAAAATACTGATTTTTACACAAATAGTTAATTTTTACATGTGATATGTATTAAAAAAAATACCTAAAATCTTATCTAAATATGTTCATTAGCACTGACTTTTTTAAAGATTATGGAAAGACTGCTCTAAATAAGCACAATTAAGTTGTGCTTACAAAAGGAAACACTATGTGCCAAAGCCAAGGATAAAAAGAATATGGTATATCTGAAATATTGGTAGAAGGTAATTGATATGAAAATATAGAGAAAAAGGAGTGTGTTAAAAGGGAATGTGGAAAAGATACACAATGAAGTGTTCTTCAGACTAGAGATTATAGAGTCAGTTAAGGATTTTGGATTGTTTGCTAAAGCCTTTGAAGGTGTTTATTTGTATTTGTTGAGCTCAGGAAAAGTAAACTAAGTCTGAAAAGTAAAAAGTAGGACAGTTAGAAAGAAATATTGAAAGGTGAAATGCGTGGCCATTATTTTTGATGCTGTAGCCACGCATTTCTTACCAAGAAGATTTGTAATTTCATAATAAATTATTTTGTGATAAACTAATTTTTCAGTATTAGCAAAATACTGAGAGAATTTTTAAGTACTCAAATCACACAGTAAACAGATTTGTAGACATGATTTTAAAAAAAAAAAACAGATTACTATGGCTATCAGTAAGCATCTTCTAGTCTTCAATGTCTTTTTCCTCCCTTAATATATAATATCTCCCACAGCTTATATTTTAAATGCTATTACAGTTATACAAGTACCATCTAAAATCCTAAAGTTTTAATATTTTTACTCATATGTGCTTTTATCACACCAAATAAAAAACACTCCATGGAACTTAATTATACCAATTTAAATATTTCCTTTATGAAACAGCCATCTTTTTCTTTGTAATTATTTGTTTCACAGAATATTCCTACATTCTGTATTTGTCATATTTCCTCACTACATCATTTAAGTTGTTCCTCTTTCTACTATCCATGATACATTCTGATTATTTTCTGACAAAGCACAGGTTTCATTCTTTTTTGACATATTTTAAGTAACACTCAGTTTTTCTAATTTTTGTTCCTTTCTTTAAAAGTTAAGCCCCCAAGTTATGATTGCCTGCTTTTAAATACAGAATAAACTTTGAGACAACATATTTTTTCATTTTAAAATGATTATGGTTGTATTTAAGTCATATAATCATTATTCACTTTAAAGTAGTAATTCAAACTGATGAAAAGCAAGTTGCCTTCCATGTTAGCTGTCTATAAAACTTTAAAGTGGTTTCCTATTTTTCACCTTTGGCTTTTGAGAAAATCGGTTGCCATATAGCGCAGACTAAGCTGGATCTCCTTATAGAGATGAAACTTCCTTGAATTTATAAGCTTTCACTCCTGCATGCTAGAATTATAAGTTTGTGTTGCCACACTTTGCTATATGTTTGTCTATTTTGTTTAATTATTGAATACTTCTGATGAGGAGGAATCTTGTATTGATTCTTTTTGGACGTCATCTAGCAAATAAAAGTATAAGAGTTTTATAGAGGTGCTTATTATAATGCTTATGGTAGTAAATAACTTATCTATGTGCTCACATTTATTACTGTTGCAGAATTTAAAATTTATTCCATGAAAGAAATCAAGTTATTTTTTTTTATTTTAAAAAGTATCTTATTTTACATACCAAATCCCAGCACCAGATCTCTCCCATCCTCATACCCCCCCACCACCACCATCTCCCTATCCTACCCTTGATCTACTCCACAGAGAGGGTGAGGACTCCCATGGGGAATAATAAAAGTCTGACACAAAATTTTGTGTAGGACCATGACCCTCCCCACTGTATCTAGGCTGAGAGAGTATCCCTCTGTAGGGTATGGGCTCCAAAAACCAGTTCATGTACTAGGGATAATTAGTTTCCACTGCAAGTAGCCCCATAAAATTCCCAAGCCTGCCACCTGTGGACCACATTCAAGGAGCCTAGTTCAGTCTTACATAGGTTCCCCAGCTGTCTATCTAGAATCAGTGAAGTCCAACTTGCTTGGGTCAGCTTTTTATGTGGGTTTCCCCATCATGGTCTTCAACCCTTGGATCATGTTATCACTCCTCCCTCTCTCCAAACTGACTCAAGGATTTTGGCCCTTTGCTTAACTATGGGTCTCTGTATCTGCTTCTATCAGTTACTGGATAAAGGCTCTATGATGGCAATTAGGAAATTCATCAATCAGATTATAGGGGAAGGGTAGTTAAGGTATATTCTCTACTATTGCTTAGATTCTTCATTGGGGTCATGCTTGTGTATTACTGGGAATTATAGTGGTTTCTCAGAAAAATGAGACTCAATCTACCTCAAGAACCAGCAATTCCACTCTTAGTCATATACACAAAAGATAAACACTCATACAACAAGAACATTTCTCCAACTGTTTTTTTTCATAGCAGTGTTATTTGTAATAGCCAGAACCTATAAGCATCTAGATGAGCCCAACCAAATAATGTATTCAAAAATGTTGTACACATACCCAATAGAGTACTACTCAGGGAAGAAAAAATAATGATACCTTTAATTGTGTGGAACTAGAAGATATCCTGAGTGAGGTAACACAGACACAGGAAAACAAAGAAGGTATGTAATCACTCATAAATGAATATTATACCTAAAGCAAAAGATAACCAGCCTACACTCCACAGAAGCCATGAAACAAGGGAGACCCTAAGAGGGACATATATGGCCTACTACCCACAAAGGATAAATGGACAAGACCTCCTGAATAAAATGGAAGTGTGGGAGATGTGCAGGGTAGTATGAGAGTGGGTATGGGTAAAGAGTAGGAGAGAGGGAGAACATGAGGGATCAGGAAGGTCGAGAGGGAGGGCAAGGTAAGAGATATCTTGATAAAGGGAGCCATGATGGGATTAATGAGAAATCTGGCACTAAGGAAATTCCCAGAAAAAGAACTTCAATTCTTAAATTATTACCTAAAGGAAGAGAAGTTACTGGGATTATGGTAAACATGAGATCACTGAGTACTTCGTATATATTATTCTGTCAACTATACAGGCAGGTTAGTTCAATTTTAGTCAAATGAAGAAAAATAATTACAAAGGATATGTAAAGCAGATGTCATCTCACTTTGGAACTTTACTATGTATATTTGTGACAATGTAGTGGCTTATGTTTTTAGATACTTAGGGACAGTTAATCTACAAAAATATTCAAATAATAATCTACAGGAAGAATGGAAGAAAAGTACTACTTTGCTGAATGCATAGTAATCCAGAATATAAAATTAAAAAATATGTGGTAGAGTCTATAGATTATTAAGACAGAATTAGATAGTAATAATTTTCCTTTTGTTGATTAAACTAACACTATTACCTACCCATAGATTTTCTCATGGGTATAAAAATAAGTGCAAACTTGAGCCAGTATAGTTTAACAGTACTTATTTTCAAGTTGTATAAGGAAGGAAAGATTTTAAAAGTAATAAATGATATTTTATCTATTGGTTTCCCACCCCAAAATACCCATAGTGTCGTAAAAGTAAGTTTGTAAGTAGCCACATGACAATGCAGAACAATTCATTGACTGATACAGCCATAAGAATCATCTCTGTCCTTCTATACCACTGAGATTTTTTTTTTTTTTTTTTTTTTTGCTATGAATATCTGGTTCCACTGTCTAAGGTCCATTAGACTGCTCAGTCCTTCTAGCTGAGACCCATGTTCAGGGAGTCTGAATCAATCCCATGCTGGTTTCCCAGCTCTCAGTCTGAGAGCCCATTAGCCCTTCCTTGTTCAGGTCAGCTGTTGCTATGTATTTCTGCAGCCTTGTCTAGTCAGACCTCTCTGCATCTGGATTCCAGTTCAGCAGAGCGTTTAGTTGTTGGTGTTTCCTTCTGTTTCCTTCAGCTATTGAGGGCTCCATGATGGTGGATAGGTTAGCCATTAATCTCCTTGTCAAGGAGATAGGTTAGCCGTTAATCTCCTTTCCATTGTTTCTCAAATTGTTAGTTGGGGTACATTTCTCTAGAGTAAGTTTTCATTCAATCTTGTAGGTTTCTATACATTTCTCTAGAGTCAGTTTTGTCTTATGACACATAACGGCTACCTATTTTATGCTCTCTCTCTCTCTCTCTCTCTCTCTCTCTCTCTCTCTCTCTCTCCCTCCCTTATCCATCTCTCTTTTCTCTCATCTATTTCTTCCCTGACTCGATCTTCCTACTTCCATATGCTTTCCTCTCTTTTTCTTCTCTTTCTCCTAGTTCCCTCTCCACTCACTGCCCACCCCACAACCCATATGTTCCGGAGATCTTGTTCCTTTCCCCTAATGTGAGGGACCTTATATGAATCTGTTAGGATCCTCCTTCTAGCCTAATTTCTCTGGTGGTATAAATTATAGGCTGGTGATCATTGCTCTTTGTCTAAAATCCAAACATGAGAGAGTACATACCATGTCCCTCTTTTTGTAATTTGTTTATCTCATTTGGTAAACATCCACTTTCCCTGAGAATTTCAACATTTCATTGCTTTATTTTTTTAATTTTTTCCCCCGCAGAGTAGTATTACATTGTGTGAATGTGCCACATCTTCTTTATCCATTCTTCAGTTTAGGGGCATCTAGGTTGCTTCCAGGTTCATGCTATTAAAAATAATGCTGCT